TTAACTACGAAATTTAAAACAATTTGGCAGCCCATCACTGGTTTGTAGAGAGGAACTTGTCAGATGATTTGTTCTTATTTTAATATATTGCGCTGAGCATATTCACTTCGGTTAGCACTGGATTAAAACCTTATAATATAGAGGTCCTCTTTGCGTGTTTTTATAACAACAGAAACACTGGTTCTGTTTTGATACTTGATACCACCTTTAGATGTAGATTGTACATGAAACTTTTCCTAACACTTAAATTTACACACATACTGTTGGTAAACCTGGAATTTGCTTTGACACTGTGCACGTCTTACACTTTTAATTTGAGGTGTAATGTGTCAATGAGATTTCGGTGAAAATATTGTACATGTTACTCACATAGCATTTGTGTAAATTGAAGACTGCTATCGGCCATCGTAACTCTTTACTTGGAATATGGTATTTTAACTTCTCCGATCATTTTTTTTTTATTAAACTCGTTTCAACGAGATAACCAACTCGTTACTATGAGATACTAACACTGACTAACTCCGTATAAAGATGCATCTGTATAACTTTCTTATTTTCTCTTTATAACGAGTTTTAGAATATTTTTTATCTTCCCACCCGGCTGTCGTAATATCTAATTTAAAAAACTTTTAACAAAGCGGTTGATATCACCATAACCACGGGTGGCGTCACAATAAATACTGGTATATTAGCTTCGATGGCGTTACAGTGCCTAGGTTGAGTAGCCCACCGGTCATGTTCTAATCAAAGTGTTTAATAAGGTATGAATAATGTTCTATTGCTGTCGTAGATGTAAATGTGTTCAATCTCATCATTCGTGATTTTCTACATATTGTGTAGTCAACCAAAATGTAATTTGTGTATACAGAGGCGTATCTTGGCGTCTACGCATGTGTTAACTTATCTTTCTTAACCTCCGCTTAAAAAGTGGGAGGGTATACAGTGATCAGGAGGTACCTCCGTCTGTTACGCTTTGGGGTACCCAACTGTTGTCTGCAACTCCTCTTACACCACTTGATGAAATTCAATGAGACTTTCAGAGATTCTTTGTTACATATCAGGTCCAGTCCAAAGACTATTTCTACCTACGTAGCTATTAATAGCTACCTAGGTATTTAAAGCTACCCAAAGTAGCTATTTTTACCTACTTTCTGCTTAACTTGCATTTTGTGGCGAAATGCAGGAACGGCGCAACATGGTGAGCACAACATTTCTTGATACAGTCACACTGATGATGGATATGACAAAATTTCGGCCAAAAAATGTGTACTTCAAATATAATCAATTTTGCATAGAAACTAATGTAAAATTGCCGATTCAGGAAGTAATCATTTTTTGGCCAAAATTTTGTCGTATTCATCATTTAGTGTGACTGTATCAAAAGATATGGTATTCACCATGTTGCGCCGTTTGGTCTTTGTGCCGTAAAATGCAGAAATTATACAAAGTAGGTAAAAATAGCTACTTTGGGTAGCTTTAAATACCTAGGTAGCTATTAATAGCTACGTAGGTAGAAATAGTCTTTGGACTGGACCTGCATATAGTGTTATCATGCACCTTCTGTTTTACTTTTTGATCAGAAACATATTTCGGGACTCCCATAACAAAACTGACACTGCCATCTTTCAATTTAATATTGAAGATTACCCATCTCTTATCCGCATCTCCTCCTATACACATATTCTTTATAACATAATGCCACTGTGCACCCTTTATATCACTTTTTGATATGACACTTATTTTGGGTCTCCCAGAGCAAAACATGAACATGCCATTATTTATAGTCACATGGGAGGCGGCAGGGGGGCATTTAGTGAGTTCACTGCTCACAGTACCTCTAGTTTTTGAAAGAGCCCTTTCAACATAGAAAATATTATATGGTATCTTATAATTATGTATTCACATATCTTTTTATTGTTTCTCGTAATTTGACATAATTACGGAAGCCCATTTAGGACCTATCAAAAATATTTTTGTTGAATTCGATATAACGAATTGTAGAATTTGTTATATCGAATCTATTTCGTTGTAACAGTTTTTTTGAATTCGTTATAATGAATTTAATCTGTTATAACAAATTTGGTTAATTCGTTTACACGAATTAAAGAAAATTGTTAAAACAAATTCGTGATAACAATTTCTAAAGTTTATTATAACAAATTAAATTCGTTTAAACAAATTCTTAAATTCGTTATAACGAATTCAGTTCGTTTAATCAAATTCAACAATCAAGATCTGTAGAGAAATATATATGAATTCGATATAACGATTTGTCTAATTCGTTTAAACGAATTTATTTTGTTATAACAAATTAAAGATTTCATTTAAACGGATTCAATTCGATACAACAAATATTAGAATTTGTTGAAACAAGATTATTTTTTATTAACAAATTTATGAATTTGTTAGAATGAATTCAACAAATTTGTTATAACAGATTTAATTCATTATAACAAATTCAAAGAAACTGTTATAACTAATTAAATTTGTTATAACAAATTCAACAATTCGTTATATCGAATTCAAAAATATTTTTGATAGGTCCTAACTGGGCTTCCGTACATAATAGTATCTTCTTAAGAAAACACTGTTATGAAATTAATTTGTCGGACGCGAGAATTCTACAAAAACGTTACATTACTAAGGATTGGAGAACAAGCATTGTATCTTGCATATACATTTGTATGCCTATTGTCAAATATTTTCTCTTTTTTTATGGTAATAGATAAAACCAAAACAGTTTTCAAAAAAGGGGCAAAATGTGTTTGTGAAACAATTTTTACTTTGCTTATACATGTTGGTTGGTTGGTTCTATATCTTTCATATTTCACATGTGTACATGTGTACTGAATTTCCTTTCATTGGATTGATTGATTGTAACGTCCCTCTCGAGAATTTTTCCTTCATGTAAAGACGCCACCACTTGCTATACTCGGCACTCAGGGCCATAGAGCAGGGAGGGATCTTTTTTCATGCCAGCACCTACTGCGACACGGGACCTCTGTTTATACAGTCTCATTTTGGCTTACAAACTTCACATATGTACATGTATTTATTGTAACTTAACATTTCCTTTGGTATGGATAATTTTGACCTTTGTCGTAGAGTTTTACCCATTTCAAAAAATAACATGTACATTGGCCACGTCTTTAGAACAGTTAGTATTAGGGTCTTTGTATTTCACAATTGAATTCCATGTGACAAGACCTCCTGGGTACTGTCCTCTGATGTCAAATTTTTCTAGGGACCATACCATTAAGTATTACCCTTCGACCTTGGTGTTTGGCCTACTTTGAAAAAAAAAATTAACTTGGACATGACTTTTGAACATCAATTTTACCTAGGGGTTTTATATAAATCACATGTGTATAACTTAGGACAAGACTTTTATCATGTTGTAAATTTTGAATTTACCCCCCGCCCCTAGTAAATTCATACTTTCTTACCATACATAAAGTTAATCTTATCTTCACTAAACCTATAAATCATTGTCATAAGAGGCCATAGTTCATGATATTGAACTTAAATGTCAATGAATGAATTTCTTACCATAGATCTCGAATCATATTTGCGTCAAAAGTCAAAGTCACAGAAACGTTGAAAAATGGACAGCACATGCAAGTCTTGTAGAAATTACCATTAAAAAATAATTCCCATCTATAAAAAAAAATTCAGGAATACTAGAAGATAGCAAACCCTGAGATAATGAACAGTAATCAATTTAAAAAGTTCAGAAACAGGGCAAAAACGGACTAAGAGTACTGGTATTTACTGCCGACCTGTTCCTACTGTGGAGTGCTCCTTGTCATGATCAGGAGTAACAGAAAAATTCGTTTACAATCCAGTGTGTAAATAACGACGTAATAATTAGTCAGTAAAACTCGGTAATAACGAAGTCACTGGGACCTATGAAATTACTTCGCTATATCCGTAATTTGTTATATCCGTATGAGGAATTCTTTTTTATATATTCGGTATTTGGGGATCCAATATTACTTTGCTTTATCCATGAATTCGCAAAATCCGTGTTCATACTAAACGAGTTTTACTGTAGCATGAAAAACGTCATGATTTTACATTAAAGATAGATTATATTTGTTGAAAAGGTCATTGTATCGACTATAACGTTGAGCTTACGAGATGATGACTTTGAACGACAATGTTGATAATTATACATGTATCTGTTGTCAGTAACTTTGCTTTTGCGTATCGAGTCAACTGAGAGATCATATTAAACCCGTACTCAGATGATGAGGGTATGTTGCTGCATAAGTAAAGGAAGTTGACAATTGACAAATTTGAAGGTCATTACGTTTGTAAAAAACTTTGTTGTTCGATTTATGTCTTTTTCAAGTACAATACCCAGATATGCAAATAGATGTGTCAGGCTCTCTGATGGCAAAATTTCCAGCCTTATTTGGAAGAATATTAAGGAAAATTTCTAAAAAGACACCCCCCCCAAAAAAAAAGCTTGACTGAAATGATCGAAATCATCAGTAAAAACGTTTACAACGAAGTGCCAGAGACGATCAATTTTGCTTCGTTATAAACGTATTTCGTTTTTTCCGTTAGCTCCACAATATGTAGGAATGAAAACACTTCACTATGAGCTTTAATTCACTAAATTGTATTTGCTATAAGCAAACTTTATTGTATTATGAATTGTGCAATCAAAATAAATGTTTGGTAGAATTTTTTTTAATGATTGTCCTTTCTTTTCTCTTATTTTAGGTGACTTTTAAACTAGAGTTAATTGTAGAAAGTTTTGAAAAAATGAAATAAATGTGTAGAAGAAATCTTATGCGTAATTTACAGTTACAGAATAAATGAAAAATTATAAATAAAATTTATCAATATACTCATTAATTATTGCAATTAACATAGTAGGTTACATAAATATGTTGTATGTATTGAACTGTCCTGAACTTAAATAAATTGCCAAAAAACATGTTCATGTGAATTGAAATTGAAAAAAAGACTTTTTTACTTTTAGGTTTCCAATTTTTCTGGAATTAAAATTTCATTAAAGATGGCAGATGAAAGATCTTTTGCGCAGCATTTCATACAGTGTGATGAATGTGAGGAAGAACCAGCCAAACAGTACTGTAAAAATTGCAAAGGAAATTTGTGTACAATATGCACAATGCGACATCAGGAAAAGAAACTTACTCAAAATCATGAATTGATTTCTTTAATAAGTGAAAGGAAAAATAGAAAACCTGAATTTTCGAGTTGCGAAGCTCATCCCTCAAGAAATTTAGAATTTTATTGCAAGCCGTGCCACACCCCATTATGCCCAGAATGTTTAATAACGGATCACAATGGACACAAAATGGAAGATCTGATGATTGTCTATAATCAAACAATGAATAACCTTTCAAGTAACCAAGAAAAGGTATTTACATCTTTACGTACTTCTGAAAGCCATTTATCGAAAGCAAAGCTGTTGAAAACTCAGTTGGTGGCAAATGCTGATGCTGTAGTGGCCAAGATAGAGAAAAGAGCTGATGCATATATAGAAATAATCCACAAAACAAGAGAAAAATTTGTAGACTTTGTTCGTAAGCATGAACGAGAGCATACTGGACATATTGATAAAATAATCGCAAAAAGGGAGGAAGAAATTGCCAAACTTAAAAGGATGAAATCTGACATTGAGGTAAAACTGGCATCTGACACCCAACAAACCACATTTCTTGAAGATACGTTTATCGATAAGAAGGATGATTGTCAACTTCTAAGAAGTTCTGATTTTACGTTGATAGAATTTGAAATACCACATATAAGTGAAAACGAAACCGAGGAAGCATTTGGTAAACTTTCACATATCCCGTGTAAAGATGAACCTTTTAATTTGGGTTCTACAACATGTAGCAAAAGGGAAACTGAGGAGCCACAATTAACAATGTCTATAACATCAAGATTCCGTGAACAATACGACGTGCATTGCCGAGGAGAAATGATTTTTATTACAGGCGAAAAAAGAAACATTCAACAATTCGATAACCTTGGGCGTCATATCTCTGCCATAGAGACTGAAAGTCCACCAGACGGTATGACAATATTACCCAATATGAGTATATTTTACAGCGATTTCTTTGGGAAAAAAATTGTGCATATCCATCCTGAAAAAAATACAAGGGAAATGATTTTAACAGACATGTATCCTTATGGATTACATAACACTCGAGCTAACGAGATTTTGGCCTGTTTAGTTTTCCAAGCTGATTCAGAAGCAAGAAAGCAAAAGGGAAAAATCATAAAATATTCTAAATCTGGGGAACAATTACAGGAGTATATGTATGACGGACAGACTCTTTTATTTAATCGACCCATTGATGTTACAGAAAATATTACGGATGATATAATAGTATCGGATGTTCATTCTTGCCAAGTTATAGCTATTTCACCAGAAGGACACTTGCAATTTCAATATGATGGAGGCGTATATGTGGGGAAGTCAAACAGTTTTTCGCCAGCCGGTCTTGATACCGACATCCTAGGAAATATCATGATAGCAGACGAATACGGTAACCGCATTCACGTTCTTGATTCTGAAGGAAATTTCAAAAGGATTCTTCTAAACAGATGGGACGGAATAGAATTACCAGTTGGCATATGCTTTGATGGAAAAGATTCAGTATGGATTGCAGAGAGCAAGTCGAAGAAATCGAAGAAATTTAAATATTTGGAATAATTTACCAGTACTAGCAATTGGATTTAACTTAAACTGTGTATGATATTTCATGATAACGTTATCGTAGGAACTGATATTTAATTTTCCACCAATGTTTATAGGTAACATCAAGCCTGTAAAAGAAATCATGGAATGAGATAAAAGGAGATAAAAGGAACTGTAACAAAATTTTATTATATTAAGGATTGACAGTTGAATGAAGAATAGAGCGAAAGGACAAGAGAAGCTATGACCCATTTTTGGAGTTGAAGTGTCTTTTTGAATGATGAAACAATTTATCAATAAAAACCTCATGGTACCCATGCCACAAAATGATTATTTGTGGTAAGTTATAGGAAACACACAGATCACAGAAAAGTGAAGAGATATGATAAATTTCTGAATATTCTCTTTTTTGTGCAATTTTCATCGAATTAACTGCACATTTTGTTTCAGAAAACAGAGCACAAGCTTGCCTATCTACCAAATTCATATATTTTATTTAAACTAATATCAGATGTATCTTATGTACAAAAAAATCTCAGATAGACAAACGCGTGCACTGTGTTTCCCAAAGTGAAAAAATATCAATTGTGGCGAAATTTTACCAAATGTCCAACGTCTGCACTCTCTTGTGGCCTCCTTGTAAGCTTAGTATCAAAATAAGTGCTGGGTATTAAACAAGTATTATTTTAAATCTTTAACTGCAGACTATCACAACTTTCACTGTTAAATAAGGGGCCAGATTCGAATATTGGAATCATCACTAGCGACAGTTTCGTTAATTAATCAGACTCACAGAATAAAGAATGCAAATGAGAGACTTCTTCATAGATAGTTTCAGCAATTTTGGGCGGTTGATGAGTCATTGAATGATCAGCAGAGGACAAAAAGACCGAAAGACAGGAGGACAGACGGAAACGTTCAATGGTGTCTGACATTGTCAAAAAAGACGGACGAATAGAGTGTCATGTGAATTTTCAAGTTTGTCTAATGCGACTGTTAAAAAAGATTTGACAGTGGGCTGAATTATGAAAAGAGTGAGTGTATTGTGGTACCAAGAATTCTGAAAGAAAGTGAAATTAGTGGAAGTGTTTGCGAATCAAAAATATCTTTTAATGAAACGAAAGGAAAGGCTTTAAAACATCCGTCATATGACGTTATATTTAGGTACGGCGACTACCATAATTGCACATCGTTTAAAATCCGATATTTTGAAAAATATATCATATTCCTTTGAAATTTGCAGGTCTTATTTAAAATAAATAAAGCTTCAAAAGTGTATAATTTTGTTGTTTTACGTCGATTTATAGCAATTTTATCAAAGTTGTGACATTACTTTTGGATCAACCCTCGTAACTGCTTACCCAAAATTGAATTATGGTGAAACATTTATGACAAATGAGGCATTCAGAAATATCTTTCTCCATAATTCAAGTTAAAGCTAAACACGATTCGTAAAAGGAATCTGTCCGCCTTTTTTGTTCCACGAGTCTCGCTACTCTGCAGACCCCTAAAAAATAGGGCAGAACTTAGTGTATAATCAGTCGACACCGCTGTAGACGGACGTATGCTATACAGGACTCGGTAGCGAGAATAATAACGTAATACTTCGTCTAATGCAGGAAAGTAAGATACCAAATAAATTTACAATTATAGTTGTATACGTCAGTGCAGTATACAAACAACATACAAACAACACAGATAAACATAACTGCAATAAAATGTAAACAAAGGTATTGCAAGATAGCCAGCACAAATACGGGTCGCCAAAGCAGTCAGGTGTAACGAATGCTACAAGTATACCCTAGTATTGATGTATCGTAGATAATGCCATCGAAAATGGTGTGTGGCTATTTACAAGTCGTGTTCAGCTTTAAAAAAGAGTAACATAATGACACATGGAAATATCGGCACGTTTATCAGTTTAGTTTGCACTTGATCCCACCCCTGATTATTTCATTAGGTCCGTATTTGCTCCGATTATCAGGGGTGGGATCAAGTGCCACATAGAATACAGAACAAAAACATTGCATGTTGTAGAGATGTTTCTTTCTCATCGCCTCTTCTTGTCCGTTGGCACAAAATTGTGTGTCGCTAGTGACACGGGACCTCGGTTTTTCATCCGAAGAACCCGCAACTTTCAAAGGTGATGTGCGCTTGGTGAAAGATAAGTGCTACCTTTTTTAATCGACGTTGATTACTTTCAGTTTTAGCAGCAATTCATATATACACGACCTTTAGATGACGGAGCGACTAAGCTACAGTAACGGCCGTTTTATCATTAAAAGACCGGTTTTACACAATACCCTTTTTCTTTCTTTCTTTCTTTCTTTTTTTTTTTTTAGGTTTTTAGGGAAAAAAATGATTTATGAATATTTATTAAATGATAAAATCGAAGGAGAATTGAATCTTGCAGAAAAAAAATCGTTTGTACAATTTTTAACATTTCAATTGGAAAATTGTTTAATCGAATTTCAAAATCGTTTGAACTATCAAAAAATTGTTTGTACATATTTCTCTGAAAGCATCGTTCGGTAGTTTGGATACAAGTTTGTTCTAGATAATCATAATCTTCGAAGGGGTAGGATGGGTGAACAACTGGGAATCAAAGTTTTGCATATAAGAATATATAGGGGAATCAGTGCAATGGAACAACAAAGCCATAAGTCAAATTTATATGAAAGAATCCCAATATGATGAGCCTCGGGTGTAACTGGGGTTGATATCTAAATAGGATTTAATAGGAATAAGATTCTGCTGATGAAGAACAAGAAAAGTCATATTTACTCAGGTGAGCGTTACGATCCATGAGCCATTTGATATTGTCGTGGACGCGCATCACGAATCTGCATTTTGTAAGATATTTAAAATTATTTGATCAATAATTCTTTTGATACGAAAAGGTTAATCTTTTACAAAGGGAAGATATAAGACCTTTCTTATGATAAAACAAGCCTATTTTATATCGATGACCACTGGTGGATGCTTTCTCGTGTTCCATTTGATTCATATCTTCCTTTAACTCTTTTTTTGTTGTTCCATCATGTTCAGCCAAAACAAAATTAGAGATACTGCGAGCACCGAGCTCACAAAATGGTATACCTGCTCCAATAATTGTATTATGGCGAAATGGTAAAATTTAGACAATACCGGTATGTTAATTTATGAAACTCTGTGTGAATTCGTCGATATTAATTCAGGGATTTAGAAGAAATATTCAATTGCGTTAACAAAATGGATACCGCCTCTAACAAGAATAAGGGTAATGTTCGTTATGTGTTGGCTATTTCGTGATTTTAGAAATCCTAAATACCTGTCCTATCAAAACGTTAAATTAAAATTGCACAATGAATAAAGATGTGAAAGTTTTTCAAATCTTGCATATACTCCACGGAAGTGAGTTTTTGAAGTAGAATATTGTCTCTTATACAATACGTTTTTATTTTAGAGAAAAGACAATTTTACGGGTCAGTTACACTTTGAGTGGTTATTAATTGATAATTATTTTGAAACTTTACGACTAGACGAACTTAAGAAGAGGTGTCTCCTTTATACTCGTTAAGTATAACTTTCAGTGGCATGGTACGTCCTCCTATGATGTCATAGTTTTTTGCAAAAACTGTAATTAGTTTTAATTCATAACTTATAGAACAATATCTCTTGGAAGAATGCTTTACAATTGGTGTAATGATAAATATTGTTAAGTCTAAGAATTTAAAAAATGCATATTTTCTATATTTAATCAATAATTTAATCTTTAAAAAATGTTGACAAGGGTAATAACTCCTTCTAAGGTCTCTCCATTCAGGCATTTGCTTTATTATAAAATAGTTTCCCTGATAATCACAAATCAAAAGTATCTTTTAAGAAGAAGTATTTAGGAACACTCCGCATCAGAATTATGCATTTTAACCAGTTTTTACGTATTTTTCATAATAGTGTTTACAAAAAATATTCGATTTTTTATGTTGACATACACTTCTGTTTATTTATGTTTTGCATCTTAAATAATATGGTGACCTATACATTTTTTGCAAGAATTGGAAAGTTTAAAGTATATTAAATGAAAATAAATGCAGTTTTTGTACTTTGAACCTATAAAATTGTGAGGGTGGAAACACCTGAATAACAACTATCAAATACATTTTCAAAATAATTTATTACTAAATTTTTTTTTTTATTTTTATAAAGAGCACAGAGTTAAGGAAAAATTATTTACAATTACTAGTAACTAATTCTATATTATAGAATTCTTAAAAATATTTCATGCAGTCTATTCATATTTAAATATGTCCTCGTCATATCTTAAAAGCAAAGTAAACAAAATATATTTAATACAATTTTTATGCTCAATTATTTAACATATATGTAAAAAGATCCTTAAAAAGAGCAATATGTCATGTACAATCGTATACAGTTTTTGCTTACAAAACAAAACCTACCACAATCCTTTTACTTTTAAACAAATTATTTCCTTGTAGAGAATGATGATCAGGCCCAGTGCTCCTGCAAACCACACATTTCAACAATATCTTGGTACCTGAAACAAATATCTTGGTGGCTCAGGATGCTGAAAATCTTTATTATATACGCTTAAGTCTGTAGCACCTTTATCAATTAATAAAAAGTTTATTTGAAGTTTCCACTGGTCTTCATTATTCTTGATAATCAATTAAATGTGCTTCACGTGGAAACAAAGCTCTATAAAAAGTCCATATGGTACCCATCACTTTGCAAAACTCTCTAAAAACGAGTCAGAATATTGAATTTCATTGAATTACGAAATATTGGAAAAATTTGCAAGTATCCCGGATTTCTATGAAAAACTGCTGGTATGTCTTTTGTTTTAAGACGATATGAAAATTGTTACAACGTTCTAATATTGCTTGTTCGGTTGCATTCATTTTTTACGTTGAATCTGTTTGTACTTCCATTCCATTTCTTTTAATGATTTTAGAACACCTGTCCAATTTCAACAGTAAATTAAATGCATCCTGGAATTTTTTATTCGTCTTGTAGTAAACCAGCCCATTAATAGATGGATGCAAGTGAGCAAACGTCGTAATAATCAAATGTGCTTCATGGGGAAATGAATTTTCCTTGTCAGCTACAATAATGATTGCGTACGGTACCCAACATGTCGCAAAAATGGCATAAATCAGAAACAAAGTGCGCGCTAGGCCTACCGACTTCCGCTCCAGTTTCGATGACGTCAGATCCATAATTTGGTTGGCATTCTTGTGAACTTTATAATAAATACTAAAGTAGAATAACGCATTTAGCACTACGGGGATCCATACAAGAACAACAGAGAATGCTACTGTGTAGTAGTAGGTAGCCATTCTGTCCCAAATACATTCAAGGCTCTTTCGATCATAAGAGTGATCACCAATTCCCGCCAAATTCAAAAGAACCATCAGAAGACCGGTCAGGTAAAGACCGACACACATGGTGATAGAAGTGCTTTTTCTAAATATAGTATCGTAGTATTTGTTATGGCAGATGAAAATGAAGCGACTAAAGCTCATGAGAGTTATTGAGCCTAGGGAACTGATGCACGAAATAGTGCAGAGATAGGCGATCACTTGACACAGTCCTGGATTGGCAAGGAAGAACTTCTCTCCTTCTAATTTACCTAATAAACAGTAAAAAAAAACATATACTCCTACAATTAGGAAGAGAATTGTGATTTGAACTTAAATGAGTATGGGACTTAAGGTATGTCACTCGTGAAATTGGTGAAATGAAGGATTTTTTGAGAAGTATATTTTGGTTAAGTACTCATATAGTGTGACTCAAAATCGCAGAGAAAATAGGGGGTCAGTGTGCATCTTACTGACCTACAGTACAATTAAGTTGACCTTTTTGCACTTAAACTTTAACTCTTTGGTAAATTACTGAAACCTTTGTCATAATTTATCAGATGTAACAATGGCAATAAATATAATTTTATTTTACTTAAAGTAGTTTAAATAATATTTATCATTGAAAAAAATCTTGCAAATTAATGCGCGTAAATTATTGTCTGACCTTTTTGCACTAAAAAGTAACATATTTGACGTATAAAAAACTAAATAGGCAATAAAACATTTTCTTAAATCAAACTTTTTACGACTTAAGTGCTGATCAGTCACAAGTATCGAGAACTTTAAAATAATGAAAGAAAAAGTTGATGTCAGAGATGTTAATTTTGAAATATTGGTTAAAATATGTGATTTTCAGGCGAAAAATGGTATAAATTTTATCTAGACTTATTTGACATATCTTTTTTGGCAAAGTTTGTTGAAGGAAGGTGTAAAACTTGTTCTAAAATATAAATTATGACCTATATTAAATATTTCTAGCAATTTCATAACTGAAAATATTCTCCGAGTAAAAGTATGTGAGGCTAAAGTTCCAAGATATTAAATTAAATAAACGTGCAGATTTGCAGAATGATCTGCTAAATCTCCTTCCTCCACAAGAAATAGTCCCTCATAAATCTTGTTTCTTTGTAGCTTTTTGAGAAGTTTTTTCGTTGAATGTTAAAACATTAACATTGTTGAATTTGAATATGTTATAAAAATTGAAAATTAATAAATAGTTTTGAAGCAAGAGGATGTGCGTCAACTTTTCTAAAAAGCTGACGAGTGACATACCTTAAAATGACATTCAACACGAGACGCATTTTCATTAATCCTCATTTCCCAAGGCATAAAAATTGTTTTGCAAGTGAGAAATAAAGTTAAGATCCGTACATTAAATCAAAGTCATGATTTATTTTCGGTCTTAGTATATTGTGATAACAAAGTAAAATTTCCCCTCGACAGTTCTGGAAACCGTTTTTGTTATGGAAGCAATTTTTTTTATCAATCACCGTGCAATCGGGAGAAGGGTTAGTCTTCTACAGATTTTATTTACTAGAACATGAATGAAAATGTCTCATGTACGAGGGGGTCAAATAGTTCGTGGAAAAGGGCCAGAAAATTAAAACCGCCATAGGTATATCCATGAATTTTAAAAGATCTAGTTATCATCATCTATTCTATCTACATAAAAAACCTAAATCATAAAGAATGGATGCGTACAAGGCCAGGACAATCCCCCGCTCTGAGAAAAGACTTTTTTGAATTCTAAAAGTTATATTTTTTCAAAATTATATGGTTTATATCATCTTTAACACATTTAAATCTGTGTTTCATTGTTTTAATATTTCATTAGTAATTTATTTTTCACTCATGTTTTTAAGATATATGAAAACAAAAAGAAAAAGCTTTACCTATGATTCGAACTCTCTCCATAGCGCAGGTTTTGATCTCAGACCGACCGCTTTAACCACTATGCTACGACGTCTGTCAGTGTGATTTAAATGAACGGATTTGTTGAAGCGTACATTTTTTCAGAATTTTTGATTTTCATATAGAATTGGTTCATATTCCATTTTGTGGACAAATTTCATATGTACTTTTCCATCATATTTAGCGTTAACGAAGAATGGAGTCTTGACCCATTCATGTTCAAAATTCATTTTTTATAGCTCTATTGAACCCATTTTCCACTAAATATGCTTAAGTGTCAACTTTAAAATAAAGATTATCAAATAATAAGTCGCAAAATAAAATGATAAAATGTTTTGAAGATGACATTACTGAGAACATGATTTTAGAAAAATTTAACTTTTCTGTGAATTTTGATAATTGAGAAACATTTTGTCTCAGAGCGGGGGGTCGTCCACGCCTTATACGCCCTCTTTCTCTAATCATTTTTATAAATTAGTGATGTTTTTGTAAGCAAAAATGTCAAGGTGGAGCAACCTCGAACACGAAGTTTTCTCGATCTGAGCGTAACGGAGAAAAAAACTCCTAAGATTTGAAAATTTGGCATCCAAAAATCCTGTTAATTAAGGTATGTGTTGGGATACTTTTGTTCCATAAAATATGGAATATTTTCATACCTAATTCTGGAAGTTCTATGAAGATTTATAGAAAATTTAAAATGGAGTGACGAAACAAATAAAGCTTTGACAAAACGACGTCAAAAGGGGAAAAGGGTTTCATTTTTAACATTCTATAAAGTTTTGCCCCTGAAAAAAATTATATAGACCTGGAAATGTTTAAACTGATTACAGAGAAATAATATGCATGCATAGTACTTGTTTTTATTGCCAAATTAAATTCAGAGAGAAAAGGGATGCACAGTTTATGTCAATTTGTAGTCAAGGTGTGAAAAATTAATCACGTCAAAAATGACGTTGAATATGTGTTGTTGATATTGAACCCCAGAAAGCAAAATATAATGGAATAAACAAGCGAGGACCTCTCCCAAGGTATAAATCAATTTGCAATATTATACATGTATGTATTGAAGGCCGCTTTTCATGACATTGTAAAGTCATATAAACAAGAGGGTTTAAGTCCTAAATCAGCTCTAGGGAATTTCATCAAGATAAGTGTATGAGGTAGAAGAAGCGGACATTGAAAAACAATGACGTT